CCAAGAGCCGGGGTCTGTCGGAGGTTTCTTCCGTTAAAGGGAGTTTTTCCTCCCCACTGTCGCCAAGTGCTTGCTCAAGGGGGGTTTGTTGGGTTTTCCCTATGTAATAATATTGATAACAGTAAGGTCTAGACCTTACTTTGTAAAGTGTCCTGAGATGACTTTTGTTGTGATTTGGCGCTATACAAATAAAATTTGATTTGATATCAGACCGAAGAATCATGTCAGATTTTCATAGACAAGCAATCCTTGTTTTTAGGACACATTCAATGTTACTTACGTTTCTACAAGTAAAGTATTATTTTGATAGATTAACAAAACCCATGTCTCTATCCTTCAAATCATTTAGTGCCTTTACAACAAATGAAACTTCTAAACAAAGCTGCTGTGCACGTTAAGAGAAAGACGCCTATTGATTTCTGTTGACCCTGTGGCCTTCCTACTTTCCACTGACACTGACACAAAACCTTCTGTGCACACTTCTACTCCCAGATGAAGGGAAACTATTGATTTTTGACACAGTGTGACGTTCCTGATAAATCAGTTTTTAGATGACTCTGTCTCAGAACGCCTGAAGGTCTCTCCACACCTCCTCAACCATTCAGGCTTCACAGTTCCTCTTCCTGTTAGATCCCCCTCCTGCAAAACTCAGGTTTGTGACATGAAATGTGTCTTTTTTTAATGGCTGAGGCACGACCGAATTGGATTTGTGTTGCCTGAGGAGGACTCCCTGTTCAAATGAATGTTACCATAAGGAAGAAACCTATTCGTCACCTCTGTTATAGTATTAGTTGGCTACCAGAACAACAGTTCTGTCAGTAAAACCTTACTGTGACAGAGCTTGGCCAGTTATTACACCTTGGAATTGACCAGCACTCTCTTCTGGTTGCTTTCTGATTTGGCACAGGCAGGGCTGCTGATGTGGGGGGAAACTGGGTCAGTTGTCCTGGGCCTGGGTCAAGACGTGTGTGTGTGTGTGTGTTGGGGGGTGGGCGTGGGTGTTGGGCTTTGGAGCTCATCTTGTCCAGGGCATTAACAAGATGCATGCATCAGGACACAGGATCAGAGTAAATTAAGAAGCTGCATAACCATCATTTCCTTCATAGAGGAAATACTTTTGCTCTCAAGACAGCAGATTTTGTGTTTGAACTGAAATCTCCCTTTACACAGTGATAAACTATGGTCTAATGTTTCCATTATTATAGACTATATCAGAATCTGAAGTAGCAGATAATCTCTAGAAATGGCTGAAACAGACTCTGTGCTTGGATTCCTTTGAGCTCACAGCAGATAAAGCTGTTGTTTAGAAACTTGTGCTGCCCGTACAGTGCCTCTGCTCTCTTGGTCACAAGTGGTTGATTATGTAACACACACACACACACACACACACACACACACACACACACACACACACTTAACAGTAGATAACATAGACACCACAATCACTTGGTGAAACATGTTTAAACAGTGCAGACATTTATCTCTATTCTGTGATAAGAAGAATTTAGGCTTGGCTTTCATTTTGAAAACCTAATGCAATAAAGTGAGACTTTCATAATAAAACATTTCAAGCACATATGTCTGTATTACAGACAGCATTCTTGCTAAAACTCTCCAGAAAAGTTTTCTCATATGCTGCAGTTCAAATTTAGCAGGAGAGCAGAGACAGAGAGTCTGTTGTACTTTCATGTTGTAAATCACTGGGGCAGGCCAGCTTATCGCACAGAGTCATCAGAGGGAGTACTACTGTACTACAAACAGTGTCAAGTGAAGTATTTCTACACCTAATGACTGGATGAATAACTTCCTCTGTGCTGTTTATATTTCTGCATACACACACTATCTGCACAGAAAATCACATCTCCTCCACTAAACACTGCCGGTACATTAGGAGCCTGTATTTTGACTGTCAAATAAGTGGATACCTGAGCAGGTAAGACAAGAAATGACATCAAAGTGTAGAGAAAAGAGCTGAAATAATCATTTGAGTCATTTTCAAGTAAAATCAAACACGTTTTTGTTCCTGCAATGAGATTTTCTTTGGCATATGTAATAGTTAACTGAATATATTTTGGTTCTAGTCTGCTGGTTGGATGAAACAAGCAATCTGAAAATGTGACACTGGCTTCTTGAAATTTTCAGTTGGCATTTTTCACTATTTATTTTTGACATTGTAGGAAAAAACTGTGAATTGTTAAATCAGACAAGTAACCAACAGGCTAAACTATGATGAGAATAATCATTAGTTGCCACCCTGAGTTCAAATAAACAGTGGAAATAACATTAAGCTGCATCATTTCTCTCTATTGTCCAATCCCCCCATGTCCTTGTTCCTCAGTGTTTTCTTTCACTGTGTCTTTTTTCTCTTATATTCCTGCATCTCTGTGTGCACTGCCCATGGGGATAGTGTGGTGTCTGCACTTCTGCCCCTCCACAGATTAACCATGCTTTTGTCGGCAGCGACAAAGAAAGGACCCCTCCCTGCTGCTGAGCCGGGGCTTTCAGCATGGCCCCTTGCCAGGGGAGGCTTTAAAAGGGTGGGGGTGCGTGGCTCCTCTCACTCTCACGGCAGGACAAACCCAGGGCATCAAAGCAAGGTGAGTCCCTGTCCCTCACCCAGCCAGCCATCACAGGCACAGCACAACCCCCCCCCCCCTATGTAGCAATTCAGACATGTTATTTGCATAGAATAACATTACAGTTAGTTGTGGTGAAAGGTTTACAATAGTGGTTCTCCTGTTGTGTTGTCGTGGTTGGGTTTCAAGTATTATTACAAACTGCCAATCCTTGAAATTCTTTGACAGACAAACCTTTTTCTGCATTAGTCAAATGCATGTTTACCTGACTCTCAGACTGTGTGCACAAAGTCTTAGCTGCCCTCTGGTCACTGTGATTTCTGTAGCTTTGCTTTAACTGTCTTATATGTTTTCCTGTCAGACAAGATGACTCACCATTGTACCAAGTTCTCCGGCCACTGGAAGGTGAGTCTGAGCATAACAGAGCAGATTCATACATCACCTCAGTGCCAGCCTATAGGTGTCCATGAGATGCAACTGGCTGCTTCGAGTGAAAAGATATACAATTTATCACCAGCTGCAATTTCTTTCATAATAGAAAACAGAATAAATATACAGTATATAAACTATACTAGGATACTTTATCAGCTACATTTGAGTTTTGATATGATGCCTCCAACCTTCATTATCATAATAATAAAAATGGTTTACAGGGTAAAAAACTTGGTCCATGTTACTATCACAACACAAATTTGTCTTTGAATGAAGCTGTTGGGTTGATTTCTTATGCCAGATAGTATTTCTTTATGTCTATATTGGCCACTGTGTCCATACACGTGCATCAGTCTTCTTTTCCCTGTTAGATCATAGTCTATGATGAAGAGTGCTTCCAGGGCCGCCGCCACGAGTTCACCTCTGAGTGCTACAATGTGATGGAGTTTGGCTTCGAGACTGTGCGCTCCCTCAGGGTGGAGAGTGGAGCGTGAGTATACACATGTACACACATAGAAAAGTATAGTTTTACATCAGCAGAGAGAAGCAGACATTTGTCAGAAGATTAAATGGCTTTAAGGTGATGAGAAGGTACATTTTTTTTGTCCCTAGCTGGGTGGGTTATGAGCACGCCTCCTACCAGGGACAGCAGTTTGTCCTGGAGAAGGGAGAATACCCCCAGTGTGATGCTTTCAGCGGCAGCAACGCCTATCACATTGAGCGGATGACCTCCTTCAGACCTATTGCTTGTGCTGTGAGTTAAACATGGATTATCTTCTCACCTTTTCCCTTATCTTTTGTGGACCTGTTTAATTCTGAAGATGTCAACATCTCTCGCATGCCTTTAAATTGTGTACTTGTCAGATAATTATTGTGGACATGACTGACTGGAAAAACAACCTTTATTGTTTGTTTGCTTTTTTGTTTTTGACCTTCAGAACCATAGAGAGTGTCGTATGACTATTTATGAGCGTGAGAACTTCCTGGGCCGTAAGGGCGAGCTTAGCGACGATTATCCCTCCCTCCAGGCCATGGGCTGGTGCAACAATGAAGTTGGCTCTCTCAGGATCCAGTCTGGCGCGTGAGTCTCCTCCAGCTGCTGTACAACTTCTCCTTTCCTTCTACATTTGTTTTCCTGTTCACCTATTTTTTCAGCCTCCCTTTAGCAGGACAGAAATAATCCTGGTTAGTCTTTCACAACAGCAATCTTTTGCAACATTTCACGGGTGCTTCCTTCCTGCTATGTGATTTCTCAACAGATTTGTGTGCTACCAGTACCCTGGTTATCGTGGATACCAGTATATCATGGAGTGTGATCGTCACTGTGGGGAGTACAAACACTTCAGGGAGTTTGGCTCCCACTGCCAGACCCCTCAGATCCAGTCCATCCGCCGTATTCAGCAGTAACAGCTTACTCCAAACCCTCTTTTTCCATGTGACTCTTGACCTTTGACCCCTGCTGCTTCCCAGTGCTGAATAAACTGTCTTTAACCTTATGGAATTCCATTAATGAATCTGCTTAACTAATGATAGATAGATAGATAGATAGATAGATAGATAGATAGATAGATAGATAGATAGATAGATAGGTTTACATGTTCCACACTTACACTTGTGTTTTTATAATCTACAGAGATGACCTGGTGTCAGTTTTGTACCAATAAAGCTCAAGTTGAAAAAACTGTAATGGAGAACTTAGTTTATTAAACACCAGCCAAGTTATCAATCTGACAAAATCCAATATTTGCATGAAACCTGTGTAACATACTTTTATCAAACTTAAAACTGAAATGATTAGTCATTAGATTAGTCAACTGAGTGAAAATTGATCTAACAATTTTGATAATTCAATAATCATTTAAGTCAGTTATCAAACAAAACTGCCACATTAGCTGTTTCCAGTGATTTGTCTGTTTTATATTAATGTAAATTGAATACTTGGATTGCTGGTGATTACACGAAAACAACAACAACAAAAATAATTAGTAGGTTACTTGATAAAGAAAACAATGGTCACAGCCCTGACCTATTTTATACATTTATGATCATTTCAAAATCAGTGTTTCCCCTTAAAAACAGTAAGTTGTTTTCAGATTGTTGTGGAAAACTATAGTCTTTATTAACAGATGTGTTAGTTCGCCCAACATTTGTGCTAGGCTATAAAACATCTGTGTTTAAGTAGGATAACACTGCCCCAAGCACAGGGCTGGATTTCTACCTGGGACAAATGAGCAGTGTCCTGAGGCCCCCAAAGCCCCAGAATGTAACTTTGGCATTGGAAATGTGGTCCAGAAGGAGCTAACAGAAATGAATATTTTGCCCTGGGATCCTCTGACAAGCTAATCAGACCAGTGCAAAATGACTGTGTGGCATGCCTTTCCTGCATACAGTCAACACACAAGCAGTTAATATGATGCACTTTTACAGATGGAATAATCTGGTAAACAACCAGCTTCAACAATAACATGCTGCTTCACTGTTTGTTCATTAGCTACAAAAATTCAATAGTCCAATATAACTCTGACAAAGTCCATGCTTCTGTAAATGTTCACTGTTGATATTTTAATACTTTAAGTACATTTTGCTGATAATACCTCTGTACTTTATCTCAGTAAAAACATTTACTCTTACAGGAGCGTGAGAACGTTGAATGTTGGTCCTGGTTTAGCAAGAAGCATTTGTACAGATGATACATCTGTCACTATAAATAATAATACAATTGAAAGGAACATGTGTTCTATGTTTCTGAAGCCCATAGTTGAAAAGGAAATTATAGAGATAGTGAACAAATGTGGTAATAAATCATC